TAAAAACTTGTTACAGTATGTTTAGTGTGGTGTTATTCATAGCTAGTAGTAACAATACTAGAAAACCGGACATAGCTAGTAGTAACAATACTAGAAAACCAGGCATAGCTAGTAGTAACAATACTAGAAAACCGGACATAGCTAGTAGCAACAATACTAGAAAACTGGACATAGCTAGTAGTAACAATACTATAAAATCAAATTTTTACACATCTATTTAGGACAACACCACATAAAACATACTGTAACAAGTTTTTACATATTTATTTTAGGATAACACCACACTAAACATACTGTAACAAGTTTTTACATATTTGTTTTAGGATAACACCACACTAAACACACTGTAACAGGTTTTTACATATTTGTTTTAGGATAACACCACACTAAACATACTGTAACAAGTTTTTACATATTTGTTTTAGGCCCGGTTTTCTAGTATTGTTACTACTAACTATGCCCGGTTTTCTAGTATTGTTACTACTAGCTATGCCCGGTTTTCTAGTATTGTTACCATCGTTCATCATTCTAAAATGGATAACTTCCTACATAGGAACGTGCAACAGTTATACTAAACACGCAACGAAACGTAATTGTCATTAAATAATACCTAGACTTAATATTTTCCTAAAACGTCTGTGGAAATATTCTAGAGACTGTAGACTACGTGTCTGCTTGTGATTCTGTGTACCGGAACCCCCCACCCCGTTTAGCGCGCTTTCTACTAACGCGTTTTAAAGTGTTTTTCATATGAGGGAACTTTTTCGATTAGCGCGGCCAGTTGCGATAACAATTTTCGATTTAGCGCGGTTTTGAAACAGAAAATTGGGCTGTCGAACGCTTGAGATGCTCGGTGTTTCTGGTGGTCGCCTCGTGGTACCATCGTTCTGTGGAAATACCAGTATTAATTGGATTAAGTGTGCTCATTTCAAAGGAACTTTTACTACAGTATACTGGGTATGTATATATACAGTATACTTAAAGCATCACTCGATGTAAATAACAGCTATTGTGAAGTAACTGTGATTAACATGCAAAGTAAATTAACCATAATCACGCCTGCTAAGCCAAGCGAAAATTGTATTCAGCTCCTGCTAAGACTAGTAATTTAGAAGTGAAACAAATTTTATTTACGCGTCTTGAGCAAAAGTATCGTGTGATTGGTATTAATAATTCAACGGACTTTAATGTTTTATATACGTCCTTAGTGTTTAAGAATTTAATTAATGCCGTAATTCTCGGTCAGGAACGCATCCCCTCTCCCCTGTTATTACACATATTCCCGTGGACAATTAATTTTCGTTTAGCGCGTTTTCTTTTAGAACGGCGTTTTTCAGTATCGCGTAACCGCGCTAAATCACCTTTCCCTTCGTGCTTTCAAACGAGTTCAAAAAAATATACACTTTCGTTCAATGAGAGAAAAGTTAAAAAACAAAAAAAAAAAACGCGAACGTAGTCCCCAGGACCCGACCCAAAATCTGTGCACTCCCCTGATAAGTCTCATGATCCACAGCTGTGCCCCATCGTTGACCTTTCTAAGTCTGATAACCTTAATTACCCACTATCACGTCAATTATCAACCTAACAAGATTCTGTAAAGAACGACGTGGTCAATCGCTGACCTTACGTTTCGATATAAGTGGACGTCGGCTTCCAAGACCACGTTTAGGCGAACCAATTACACAGAAATTCTCACAGGTATGTCAGGAAAGGGGACACTAAGAACAGCGGTTTTATTCTCCGCGGTCCGTAGAACTTAAGGCACGTGACGTGACGTCTTATAGTGAAAGACTTTCATTTGTTAATACGATCTCCTAGAGATGTGTCTTCCTCAATTAACTTGTGCATGATTGATTAGGATGGATGCAGCTTGTCAACAATGATTTTTTCTATGCCTTATACGACCAGTCTTCAAATTTGAGCAATGATGATGTCAGTCCTGAGTGTGTTTGGAGTTGTTCTTACATTCTCATATGGGTGTGTTAATCTTCCATTGTTGATACCAGTCACTGTGTTAATGTTCCCTTGTTGATACCATTCAGTGTTAATGTTCCCTTATTGATACCATTCACTGTGTTAATGTTCCCTTGTTGATACCATTCAGTGTTAATGTTCCCTTATTGATACCATTCACCATGTTAATGTTCCCTTCTTGATACCATTCACTGTGTTAATCTTCCCTTCTTGATACCATTCACTGTTAATGTTCCCTTCTTGATACCATTCACTGTGTTAATCTTCCCTTCTTGATACCATTCACTGTTAATGTTCCCTTGTTGATACCATTCACCATGTTAATGTTCCCTTCTTGATACCATTCACTGTGTTAATCTTCCCTTCTTGATACCATTCACTGTGTTAATGTTTCCTTGCTGATATCATT